AGCACACTACCCAGCATTTATTGCTGTCTTGGCTTGTCATCAACAATCTCTTTGTTTGCCTATCAACCCCCAATTCTCTCTCCCTGAGCACCATCTCCATGTACTCCTCCCCTACCCTGTTTATCAGCATAAATTTCACCCACTCTCAGCTATTTTCTGTTCTGATAAAGGGTCACAGGACTCGAAACATTGTGTTTCTCTCTACAGATGCTGCCAGACCTTCTGAGTTTCTCCAGCACTATTTTTGTTTTTCTGATATCGTATTTAATTCCTTTAACAATAAATGATAACACTCTTTTAGCTTTCCTAATTACTTGCTGTACCTGCATACTTAATACTTGTAATTCATGCACTAAGACAATCGAGCCCCTTGGGCATCTCAAAACTCTGCAATCTCTCATTATTTAGATAACATGCTTCTTTTTAATTCTTGCTGCCAAAACAAACAACTCCACATTTTTCCACATTATACTCCATTTGTTAAATCTTTGCCGACTTACTTGATCTAGCTGTATCCCTTTATAGCCTCCTTACGTTCCCTTTACAACCTACTTTCCTATCAAGGGTTGTGTCATCAGTAGATCTGGCAATCATACCTTCTGTCCCTTCATCCTGTCAGTCACATAAACTGAAGTAATTGAAGCGCTGATATCTACAGCAAACAAACAGCAGCGATCAGGATCCAGTGGAGTCATTGGAAATTCATAACAGGTTATATTCTTAACTAAAAGAAGGAGAGCAAGAACAATTTTAATTTTGTAGTATTACGCCTCACTAGGACAGCATGCTGAAAATCAAGCCCCAATATTTCCAGAATCATGACAATTATTGAAGATTTTATGAAGGTATACAAAACCTCTGATTTACCTGTGTGATAGATTCAAGTTAATGGAAATTATGATCTATGTTTCAGTAACTAAAAGGTAAGGTGAAGTTGCCATTGTCCTATCAGACTATAGGGCCGCTCTCATTGCAGGGGGTCACCATACCTCAGGCGAAAGGATAGGTTGAGAAGGAAGAATCTTCCTGGTGATGTTGGAACGGAACCTATGTTGTTGGTGTCACTCTGCATCGCAAACTAGCTGTCCATCGAACTGGCTAAAATGACTATTACAAATAAGTAGACTCTAACTACAGGTAGAACTATGAACTGATGATATAGAACTCAGAATTGAAATTCTAACCATTTTTACAATGGCATACGTGCTATGAGTGGAGGGAAAAAGCTGTGGAAGCAGTTTAACGACGCCAGTCCTCCAGGTTTGATTGAGGGGTTCATTTGGTTTCCCAGATTGTTCAGTTTTTTTCACTAATGCAGCGCAGGCACAGAGCAGTTGGTTGACACGTTATAAACTGTTGGACTTATCAACTAAAAGGAACATCTTAAAGCAAATGGTGGGAGAGAATAAACTGGCTTTCTTCAGGCTGGAGATATATCACTGGAGCGAGAGAGTGAGTGAAAGCGAGAGAGAGACCATCTGCCCTTTTCAGCAGTCCAAAGGCTTCTGCCAGTGTTGCTCACACCCACAAACTATTCAGCTACACAGGTGCCAGATAGTTGTTGTCAGGTTGATGGCTTTTGTCATCCAGATTGGTCACACCTCCACAAACCAATCACTGACCTGATGCTGGCTGAATTTCACTTCATGCACAGACCCCTGGAGATAGGCTGTCTCCTCTTATACCTTCCCCCACTGGTTGCAAAGCAACAGTGTAAACGTGACATTCAATAAATGTCAGTAATTTGCTTTTTAAAAGTACAGCACTTCCTTCCTCAGTCATTTGTTGTAATTCAGTCCACAGTCAAAAACAAAGGAAAATAAAAAGATATACACTTTAAAGTAATGTATTTTATGTAATTAATTGCCCAAAGGCACTTCACAAAAGCATGACAAAAGCAAAATTAGGCACTGAGGCAGTAAAAGGAGATATTAAGGCAGGTAGAGTCATACAGCACAGAACAGACCCTTCAGTCCAACCAGTCCATGCCAACCATAATCCCAAACTAAACGAGTCCCACTTGCATACACTTTACCCCATCCCTCCAAACATTTCTTATCTAAATGTTTTTTAAACATTGACTAAACTTTTCAGGGTACAGTTACAAAGAGCTATGTTTTAATGGTCATATTAAAAAAAAACATGGAAAAGCAGAGAAATTTAAGGAGGGAATTTAGAAGTTTATGGTTCAGGCAGCTAAAATGACAGCTGCAAATTGTGGTATGTTTAAAATCAGGGTGGTTATAAGGCTAGAATTAGGGGGGTACAGTAGCTTAGAAAGTTGTGGGTCTGAGGAAGAATTACATACAGAGTTAATGATGGGAGAGACCATGGAGGATATTTGAAAATAAAGTTGAGAATGTCAGGACAATGGCATTGCTTGTCCATAAGACAATGCATGTCAGTGAGCACAGTGGTGATGGGTGAACAGGATCTGATGCAAGCTGGCCACAGGCTAAGTTTAACACTTACAGGGGGTATGATGTGGGAAGGTGGCTAGCAATGCATTAGAATAGTCAAGCCATCAAGTAATAATGGCAATGAATGAGGGTTTTGGCAGCAGTTAAACTCAGGCAGGGGTAAAATTATGGAAATAGAAAAAGATGATTTTAGTAGTGATGTGAATGTGTGATCAGAACCTCTTTCACAAAGTACCACCATGAATTGCTACATATCACAAACCAGAAAAGGTAGATTGATTATTATACTCATCAGCTTCAAATGCTTGAGAATTTTAACTTGCATCTGGATGAAACAAAAGGTGAAATATAATCAAATCTAAGTTGCCACAGTGTCTGATGTTTGATTGACAGATCCTCATAAATCTCCAGGCTGAACGACAAGGTGATACAAAGTGACTTCTAGTATAAACTGCTGGATTAGTTTCCATAAAATTCTGGGAGCAGAAGATTATTAAAGACTAATCTTGTTTTCTGGACAGGGCTAGACTTCATTCCAGTTGTTGAAAGGTTGGACACAAGGTGCAGAAAGGGAAGGCTAGGACAACATTAGCCTATCCTTTCCAATCTCCATGGAAGTTTGTCTTAAATTTCCCTTCCAATTGTGGCTTAGCATATGACCGTAAAGATAAAACTCCAAGTTATCTGATTGCCATGATTTAATTGTTATTAATAAAAAAACCACTGGACTCATGATAATTAAGTCATATTTCAATGTTGCCAATGGTTGAATGTTTGTAACATACTGCACAGCTGGTCTCAAAATGGCCACTGTGCTCATTCTCTCCATAGTTCCTAATGCACAGCAGGCAGATTGGACATTTGCGATGGTCAAGATTTTTGAGAAGGTTTGTAGCTCGGGCTAAAAGTCAACAACCACATTTGCGATGCTGCTCTGCATGATTCAAACACGAATGGTGGCAACTTATTAGACAAACAACTTAATTCATCACCGTTCAGTCAGCGTCGCAAACATTTTACATCAATAATGAGAAAGACAGGAAAAGCTCGACAGATTGCAAGATAAAAGTGAAAACATGTTGGATTCAATTTTGTGCTTTAACATTCCAAGTCAGGATTTTAATGTTTTTGTTTTTTCTTTAAAACCATTTTGTTGCTGATAGGTCTAACAACACATTTATTGGTAAATTGATAAACAACTAGCCTAAAACTTGATGCTATTGTTTGTCATCGTGCTCCACTGGTTACATGGTGAATGTACTTTTCTCAGCAGCATTAGTTTTCATTGTTTTCTTTGGGGGCGGCGTCCATCCAGCAATCTCTCCAAGATACAACAAACTTCCCAGTGACTATAATTTTTAAATTGACATTTAGCATTGCCAACTCTGGTATTCCTGGAGATTTCAAAAGGTGGTTGCCAGCCTCTGCACACCTCATCAGGTCAAACAATCAACATTCCTCTATTTCTGATATCTTTTTAATTGCTAATAACCAAAAGTGTACAATAGAAAATGCTCCAAAGACTTTATGCTTCTTACAACAGTGTGTTGAAGGTTAGGCTTTCATTCCTATAGATTCCAGAACTATCCAGAGAGTGTTGGAAATCCCACTTTGAATTAAAGCAAAAATGCTTTCCCTGGTCAATAGCAAAAATGCTGTGGATGCTGGAAAACTGAAAGCACTCAGAAGGTCGGGCAGTATCTGTGGAGTGGAAAATAGAGTTAACATTTGAGTTCTATGATCTTTCATCAGAAAGAAAAGGATAGCAATCTGAATTGTTAACTCTGTTTCTTTCTCCACACGTCACCCAACCAACTGATTCTATTGACGCATTGCTTGCTGTGGTCTGTGTCACTGGTTTATGTGGCTGTGTGGTGCAGTAACTGATCACAGCCAGATAGGGGAAAGAGGGGTTCACAAGTTGATCTGCTTGAGAACAAACAGCATGACTCCCAGCACTTGAATCCTGTAAAGGAACCAACCCAGCGCCCGCTCAGATATTGACTGAGGACATTCACCAAGTGAAAAAGAGTTTAACACAGTTCAAATCTTGGTCACATAGCCAGGTTAGTCCAGTGTAATCACAATGGAGATCAAGACCTTTGCAAAAGATGGAAGAAATTTGGATAAATAAGTACGTATTTTTTAAAAAAGAAGACGTGTGAATTTCCCAAGTGGTCTTTTGGAAATAACGGTTTTGCATTTTACAAAAATAATTCATCAAAAACGTGACTGACGCCAAAGATGTGACTTTCGGGATATTTGGAAATGGTCATGTACCTTTTCAAAAAGTTAGAGCAAACAACTCAATGTTAAACTTTAGGTATGGTTACACGTGGTTGGAATTTGTTTTGTAGTTGGTTGGAAGTTTTTTTAAAAAAAACTGAATAAGCTGATTTCTATGTTGAATGGTCACTATGCCAGACTGTTGTATACTTTCAAACAGCAGCAAAAGAAATCATACCAGCTCTGGACTGCAGTACAGTCGAGTAACAAACCAGTTTCCTAAATACTTGGGTAGTTAAGCACTAATTCATCTTAAAAGGAATATCAGACACTCTTGAAATGACATTTCCAATATCAAAGTGTTACAAAATAATTTTAATTCACGTTCATCATGAACATCATTACCAGTGGCAAAACAGAGAGACATCTCAGGTGAGTTGTGGCTCTTAATATCTGAGCAAATCAATCAACTTTGCAATGAGATAATCGATACAGGGCCTGGTTGCACAGTCTATAATCAACCACAAACTTACAGAGGCTCATAGTTCGCACACAAAGTGAATTTCTGTAGACTAAAGGTAGCAGTTTCTTTAAAAAAAAATTTTCAAATTAAATGAATGTTGGCCATGTGCCAGGTTGATTAATTGCACCTGAATCCTGCCAATTCCAAAGATGTTACCCTGTGCCCACCATTGATACAAGTTATCATTTATCAATAATAAATATTTCTGTGGTTATTTTGTAAATTATTCTCTCATGGGATGATGGTATCTTTGGCTTAGCCAGCATTTATTGCCTATCCCTAAATCTCCTTGAGAACCACCATCTGCCTGCAGTCAATCAGGTGCAGAAACACCCATTCAGATAGCATGTGAAAGAAGGGGACATTGGGTTTGGGATTAGATTTCTGTCCCATATTTGGACGATAAATCACATATACGTTTCTTCAAGTAATACCTAACACTTTACCTAACTGAGACATTCCGTGTGTACACATTTATCTGATGAGCTCCAAATTGGGCTAAAATCAAGCATCAAGGTTATATATAATCCTCTTATATGACATGGCAGTGTATAGCTCGCTCTCCTCTCATCTTTGAATATAGGTACAGGAATAGGCTATTCAGCCCTTCAAGCCTGTTCCACCGTTCAGTTAAATCATAGTTGATCTGAGGCCTAACTCCATATGCCTGACTTTGGCTCATACCTCTTAACACCTTTGCATAACAAAAATTTACCTATATCAGTTTTAAAATTAACTGATCTAGCATCAACTTCTGACTGTGGAAGAGAGTTCCAAATCTTTGCCACCCATTGTGCAGACGTGCTTCCCAACAACTCTCCCGAGCTGTCTGTCTCCAATTCTCAGACTCTGCTTCTTGGTTCTAGAATCCTCAACCCATAGAAATAGTTTATCTTTATCACCTTGTAGTCTCCTGTTAATATCTTGAAGATTTCGATCAGATCACCTTTAACATTCTAAATTCTAAAGAAAACAGGCCTAGTTTGCATAATCTCTCCTCCTGACTTAACCCCTGAAGTCCAGGTACCACTCTTTTAAACTTATACTGTACTCCCTCTAAGACCAATATATCCTTCCTAAGGTGGGTTTGAACCTGTTTGGGCAGATAGGATTGAATCTTTCCTCAATCTCAATCATTGTTTGGGAATGAACCTGGGAATGAAAGGTCCTCTCCAGATCCTGCCAATCATGACTCCAAAAGCCACCAGACTATTTCAGGACTGATTGGTTCAATCTCGTTCACAGGATGTTTGGTATGAGAACCAAAATAAAACGTTTAAAATGACGATGGTAGCACTCTTCCAAGCTTTGGTAAAAAGGTACCTTTGCTTAGGGCAAATCATATTTTCCTCTGCATCTGGACTCAGCTACACCCAAGCTGGGACACTTGATATTGACAATAATAAGCACAAGAAAGGTAACACATAGTGAAATCTATCAACTTTACTCGTGTGTTTTCCCTTGTAAATAAAGGAAACACATCTTGAGAGAAGTTATTTCTATGTTTGGAAAACTGGAGTATAGGTGCTCATTCTTGAAGAGCATGGTTCATGATTTTGAGGTATCCCCTGGGAAAAATTCAGGCGAGGCCACTTCAGGACGATTCCTTTCAGTTTCGTCCTCATCCTCACTAGCACCATCAATTGTGATCTTCTGTTCCACTCTTTCTTTCACGTATGCTTCACGTATCCTCTCCAGCTCGCTCAGCTCAGCCTTGAGTTTCTCCAGGTGCAATAGCCGACGGTTTCGAAGCAGCTTCAAGGGAAATGGGTTCATTTCAACAAATGCAATGTTCATGAGCTTCCTGTGGAACATGAAACAATTATTGACCATTTGGGATTATCAGCAAGAACTTGCAGTGTACATGACTTGAGGTGTTCAAAACATTTTACTTCCGATGATGTGCCATGTTTTTGAAGTGTAGTTACTGTTTTAATATGAAACCTGGCAGCTCTCTGACACCTAACAAGCTCCCACAAACCATGATCAGGACCAAGTACTTTGTCATGTTGACTGGAGCGATAGGTAGTGTCCCAGACCACCAGGGTGAACTCTCTGGGTTTTTCTTTAAAATAGTGCAGTGCAGATCTTTTACATCCACACTAGCGAGGGGAGATATCTCATACTAAAGACACCGCCTCTGATAGTGCAGTGCTCCCTTCCGCTAGGTCAGTCAACCTAGATCTTGCATTCACGTCTTTGGAGTTGCACTTGAAGCCCAAACTTTCTGACTCAAAGACAAGTGTGTGACCCACTGAGCCCAGGCAAACACATAATTATCAAGAGTAATACATATTGAAGAGAAAGCAAGCTTAGACTAGATGAACGTAGGCCTGCGGTGCATCTTGGTAGAAGTTGGATGGTGCATGTTCTCAATCACTCTTGCATTATTGCAAGTTCAAGTCCTACTCCAAGATTGAGAGATTTCCGATTAGTGATAGCAATGGCATGTTATTAATATCTCGAGAGGAACACCAATACCATTATTTTTAAGTGTAGCTGTTTACTAGATTACCAATTATTTTAATAAATTCTAAGGTCAGAACTTACCTTCCCTGGGAAATGTTTTGTGTCAAGTATCTAAGGTAGTCATAAATTGCCAGGTTGTCATTAAGTTTCAGAATTTCTTCCTCATTGTATTTGAAAATTGCTAGTGCATAGCGGAATATAACCTGGAAAACAAGGGGTAATATGCTGAAGTCTCAATCACCTTCACACAAGGTCAGATGCCCAGCACTTTTTCACATATTCATCCAATTCCCCCTTAAAAGTTTTGAAGGCCATAGGCATCCTTCCAGGCACTCTATTCCATACCATAGTTCACTGCATCAAAAAGAAGTGTCCTCATGCCACCTTTGCTTCTTTTGCTAATTATCTTAGATGTGTGTCCTCTCTACCGCCTGCCAGTTTGCCCACACAAACATTTCACAACCCAAGATGTTCTCACCTTCATTCAATTGTCCACACTTTCAACATTTGAAATCAACAGCTAGCACAGGCATGATGGATTGGATGGCCTCCTTCTGTGCTGTATCATTCTATGATATGTGATTGACTCTCTTCCTATAAGCTGCTGGACACCGGGGCTTATTGCAGTGTTCTGTCTGGTTCAAATCATCTATCACAAGTGTTAACTTTCAGGAAAGAAACTCATAATTTAATCCATGCAAGAGGGGTCATTTGGCCCATTGTGTCTGTACTGGATCCCCAAATGACCAACTCACCTGATGCTCCAGCTTTTTCCCATAACACTGCACACTCTTCCTTTTCAATTAACAATCCAATTCCCTTTTGAATGCTTCAATTGAACCAGCATCCACCACATTCTCAGGCAGTACAAATCTTAACCACTAAATGCATAAGAAATTTTTTTCACGTCGTCACTGCTTCTAGAAACATAGCAGCAGGATGAGGCCATTCAGCCCTTCAAGTCTGCTCTACCATTTAATATTAACAACTTCCAGGATGTGCTCGCTAGCGGACTAACACTCACTTCAGTTATTAGTTTCCTTTTTAAAACCTTATGGAAATTCTTTCTATCTATTTTTATATTTCTAACTAGCTTTCTCTCATATCCAAGCACTTTCCTACATATCATTTATTCATTCATTGCTGGTTCTTAAAATCTGACCACTTTTATCTGCCACTAGCCTGCATGGTTTCTTGCAATTTGATATTATCCTTAACTTACTTAGTCAACCACAGATGATTCAGCCTTCTCAAAGAGTCTTTCTTTCTCACTGGGCTAAAATTTTGCTGAGAGTTACTAAATATCTCCTTAAAAGTCTGCCACTGCAACTCTACTGTTCCACCTTTTGTTTACTTTCCCAGTTCACTTTAGCCACTTTGCCTTCTCTCATCATATGTATCTTCATTGACATTTAAAACACTAATCTTTGATTCTCAATTCTCATCTTCAATCCGAATCTGGAATTCTATCATATGATTGCTGTGTCCTAGATGTTCCTTCACTGTAATTTTATTGATTCTGCTTCACTGTACATTACTAAGTCTTTAATATCCTGCCTCTTCGTTATTCCAGCATGTATTGCTCTGAGAAATTGGTAGAAAAATACATTATGAACTCATTTATCAGGCTGTTTTGTCAACCGGTTTTGCCTAATCTACATGAAAATTAAAGTATTGCAGTCTCTTTCTTACATTCGTTGCCCCATTTATTTCTTCCTGTATACGCTGTCCTACAGTGCAAATACAGTTAGGCAGCCTGTAAACTACACCCACAAATGGCCTCTTATCTTTCTATGTCTAGTCGATCTGATATTACATCTTGTTCTTTCAAGCCAAGGTCATCTCTCATTTCTGTACTAATGTCATCCTTAATGAACACAGCTATACCCTTCTCTGCACACCCACACCATCTTTTCCAGACCTCTTATTCTGAAATGTTAAATGCTGTTTGATGTTCGGGTCCCAGGCTTGGTCACCTTCACATGCCTTTTTAATGAGTCATATATACTTATTTCTATCTATGCTAACAATTCATGAATTTTGTTGTGAATGCTGTATGCGTTCAGATGCAAACCTTGTAAGTCTTGTCTTTTTCCCAATTTTTGCAATCTCTGGCCTTAGCTAATGCACTCTGTCCCTTCCTTTCACTCTTATTATGTAAATTGCAGCCTGGCTTTTTTAACTTCTAATCTCCCTCTAATTTACCACATGTCCCTTCACGTGATTGCTTCCCTTGCCCGGACTATTTAGTTTAAAGCCATCTCTCCCACTCAACTTATACGATTTGCCAGAACACTGATGCCATCATGGTTTAGGTAAAGACAGGCCCAACAGCACTGCCCCACTTTCCCCAGCAATGATGCCAGTGCCCCATGAATTGAAATCCATTTCTTTCACACCAGATTCATTGAATATCCTTTACCCTATATCTACTATTAACTTCAACTCTGCCCCCTCTGTTCTCAATCCCTCTACTAATAGGAGCAAGTTTCTCCACATCTATTCTCTCTGGGTCCCTCACGATTTTGAATACCTCTATCAAATTTCCTCTAAATGTCTCTCTTGAGAGAACAATCCAATCCAATCTATCTACACAATTGAACTTTCCTATCCTTGTAACCAATCCAGTGAATCTTGTTTGCACTCTCTCAAATATCTTCTAAATGTGCTTTGGGTGCTATAAGATAGAATTGTACAGCACAGAAGGAAGCCATTCTAACCCAATGAATCAGCACATTTTTTTTTGAAGAGAAAATTCCTGTGAAACTTACTGCTCAACCTACCCACACTTTTATGCTATTATTTTACTCCAAAAGTACTTATTCAATTTCCTTCCAAACCCTAATATGAATCTGAATTCGTCACAATATCAGGAAAGGGGTGAATTCCAAATCCTCAGCACTCTATCATAAAGGCTTCTCCGCTTCTGGTCCATCTGACATGTTAATTTAAACAAAGTTAAATCTGGGTGAAACAAAAACAGAAATTGCTGGAGAAACTCAGCAGGTCAGGCAGCATCTGTGGAGAGAGAGCAGAGTTTACGTTTTGAGTCCAGTGACCCTTCTTCAGAACTGATTGTCGCTAGTTAAAGGTTGGTATATATTGCTGAAGATGGGGTGGGGGGGGGGGGAGGGGAGAGGAGTAAATGATAGGTGTAGATGGGGCCCACAGAGTGAGAATAGCATTTGGGCCGACAAAGGGATGGGTAATAATCACCCTGGGACTGCTAATAGTAACAATTAACAGCTGACAATGGGTTGGTTGGGGTAGCAGCCCTTGTGATGATAGGGCCTGGGGTGTGGAGGTGGGTAGAGGACATGGAAGAAAGGGCTAAGGCTGGATTGAGTTGAACTATTGATACCATGTTGGGAAAGACACCCACGTGACATTTTAGGCAGAAGTAAGACTCTGTCATAGTTAAGCAGACGAGTTGTATTACATAATACTTAGTAACTAGTTACATTGCATCGAAGAAACATGATTGTCTCCTATGAGGCAATCATGCCGAAATCAAATACACATTGCTATTTTAACTGGATGCTGTTAACAGCAGGAATAATAACTGAGGAATTCACTGAAATGCTGGGAGAACACATACAGCAGTGGTTAGGTCCTCCCAGGAGCAGTCCTGGGAATTGATCTTGTGATGTCAATTAATTCTTTTGGGCACTAACTGCCTTATACAACAAGCCCCAAGTCCTGGTCACCGGAGAATGGGGAGGGGACCAGTACTGAGCTAACACCACACATGCATTTTGTTTCTGGTGGCACATTTTCTACTCTAGCCTTGGTGGAATTCAAACAAGAGTAGATTGTCTTCCAGAGATAGTAGGAACTGCAGATGCTGGAGAATCCAAGACAACAAGGTGCAGGGCTGGATGAACACAGCAGGCCAAGCAGCATCATAGGAGCAGAGAGGCTGACGTTTCGGGCCTAGACCCTTCATCAGAAAAGGGGGAGGGGAAGGGGGTTTTGAAATAAATAGGGAGAGAGTTGGAGGCGGATAGAAGAGGGATAGAGGAGAGGATAGGTGGAGAGGAAACAAACAGGTTTCCAGCTTGGCTTTTTCGTCTTCTCTTAGATTTAGGAAAGATTTGCAAGCCAGAATCTATTCCAGGTTCTTGCTCCACTCAAGTCACTGGTAACTTAGAAACTATTCTCCCTGAACTGCAACACTGAATAACTAGCTTTGGGGAGAACACAGCTGATCTTTCTACACTATCCTGTGATTTGTTCAGGAACCTGTTAAGTTTGTTTCTATTCGATCCTCAAGACATTTTCTTTCCAATGTTCTCTGGTACTTTATTAATATGCCTACACAAGTCAACAGACCATATTCTACAGCCTTCATTTCTACACCTATTGGGTAGGCTTCCGTTGGAAGGAGACAATTAGGATGCCACATTCAGACGATCTATTCATAGCCACTGAGTTTCGCAGTCAGAACATGCTGTCTGCAGGGACAGCCAGTTGTTGCCTCTGCAGATGTTCACATTGTGTCAACACAGAAGAACAATGCTGCTTGAAAGTAAAAGCTGTGAGTTGAGCCTGGGGTCCCCAAATACCTTCAGCCCTCACCTCCCCCATGGAGGGCACAGTCCCACCGGTCTCGCTGACACTGACCTCTGGGGAACTTCACTATAAACCTCCCTCCAGCCTGAAGAACATCCATCAACAGCTTCCTGTCACTCAGTCAATTTCTCATCCATTTATTTTCCTTTTAGAAAATGTTTGACCTTCTTTCTAACACCCTTTTCTCCTCTTTTATAAATCCCTGTTGAATATTCAACAACGTAATATAATTCTGAGCCCTTAATGGTACCTTTGTTCCCTCGTACAGGAATGCATCCCAGACCTTGAGCAGAATGTTACTCTGAAGGCTGTCAACAAAGACAACGAGGAACCAGTTAAACGTAATGTAAGAGAGGTCCACATTATACTGATCGAAGTGAGACATGAGCCTGGGCAGTTTCTCTGACAGGAAGTCCTTAAACACCCTCTGGTCGACCTGTAATCACCATAAACAAAGAACAAAATGGTCACGTATCACCATTATCCCAATTTACAATCCTTGACAAAATGCAGCACATTAGTGTTCTATTCCCATCCGTACACTGATGTACTTAAAGTAATTTGTTCCAGAAGTTGGCTAACAGAGGGACAGAGCTCTCAGAACCAAAAAATAAATCCAGCACAGACTAACACTGCATAGACAGACGTGGAATTTAACTGCACAGAAACAAGATATGCCATCCAACATGTCCAGTTTGCTGTTTATGCTCTACACAAAACACTCCCCATTCTACTTCATCTCACCCCAATCAGCATTTATTTCTTTTCATTTCTCCCTCCTCCATTTACCAAGTTTCCCTCTAAATGCATCTATACAATTCATCTCAGCTACTCCCTCAGGAAGTGAGTTTTGTATTCTTACTATTGTCTGGGTAAATAAATTTCTCCCAAATTCCCAATGGTTCATAATGTGTAGATGCTAATAAAGAACTTATGGATGTACATTCCTAATTGGATTTATTAATGACCACTGTATCAGATTTATAGTCCCTAGTATTGGACTTTTCCCATTGGTGGAAACATCTCTATGTCTAATTATCAAACCCCTTTAAGTTTTAAAAAAAACTCTAATAGGGTCACTCTTCAAGAGAATAAAGCCGCAGCCTGTTCATTTTCTCCTTATAATTGTAACTGATCAGAATGAACACGTCTCCAAAGCTTCAAAAATAATGAGTCTAGTTAAGGCTAAAGCCTCAAAACCAAGCTATAAATTCAGTCTTTGTCTAATTAGAAGCGGTCGTCTATACTGGCTGGCTAATTATTACATCAACATTTTGGGAAATCGCTCACTGCAGAACATTGACAGCTCTTCAAAAGTGGCTCAATACATACAGAGTGCCTTGACATGTTTGGCAAGATGTTGGTGAGGCCACAAATGGAGTGCTGCGTGCAGTTCTGATCACTCTCTTATGGACCAGATATTATTAAACTAGAAAGAGTGCAGAAAAAATTGCTAGGATGCTAGCTGGACTGGAAAGTTTGAGTTACAATGAGAGGTTGGACAGGCTGGGATGCTTTTCCCTGGAGCTTAGGAGACTGTGGGGTGACCTTATAGAGGTTTATAAAATCACGAGAGCCGTAGATAAGGTAGATAGTCAACATAAACAAATACAGAAGTTGCTGGAAAAGCTGAGCAGATCTGGCAGCATCTGTGAAGAGAAATCAGAGTTAATGTTCTGAAGAAGAGTCACTGGAACGGAAACATTAACTCGGATTTCTCTTCACAGATGCTGCCAGACCTTCTCAGCTTTTCCAGCAACTTCTGATTTTGCTTCTGTTGGCTATCTACCTTATCTAAGCCTCTCATGATTTTACATATCTCCATAAGGTAAGCAAATGGGACTGATTTAGTTGTGAAAATGGGTGGTATTGGCAAGTTGGGCTGAAGGGTCTGTTTCCATGCTCTGTGGCTCTATGGCAGGAAATGTTTCAGGGAACTGGGTTCAAATCCCACCATGGCAGACACTGGAATTTGAATCCAGCGAAAAGTCTAATGATGGCCATGAAACCATTATTGATTGCCTCAAAAAATACCCCATCTTAATCACTAGGAAGGATAACTGCTGTCTTTACCTGGTCTGGCCTACATTTGACTCCAGGTCCACAACAATGTGGTTGACTCTTGACTGCCTTCTGAAATGGCTCAGTGAGCAATTCAGTTGTATCAAATAGCTAAAAAGTCTCAAAAAAAAAGGAATTAAACCAGATAGACCAGCTGGTAATGATAAAGGTACTGGAAAAGACGTTGGCAAACTCAGCTCTGTCAATCCTGCAAGGTCTTCCTTACCAACATCTACGGCTTAGTGCCAAAATTGGAGTGTAACACCCCGATGTAGTCATATTCACAGAAGCATATCTTACAGACAATGCCCCAGATATCACTATCACTATCACCATCACCATCACCATCCACGGATATGTCCTGTCTCACTAGCAGGACAGACCAGTGTTGTGTGGCACTATCATCATGCTTGTTGGGAGAGACTTCAAACAGATCTAGCACCCTATGACTGGGCATCCACGAGGCACTGTGGACCATCAACAGCAGCAGAACTGTACTCCAGCACAAACTGCAACTCTATGGTCCGGCATATCCCTCACTCAACCATTATCATTAAGCCAAGGGATCAACCCTGGTTCAATGGAGGGCATGCCATGAGTCGCAACAAACATACCTAAAAATGAGGTGTCAACCATCAACCTGGTGTGGCTACAACACAGGACTATGTACGTGACAAGCAGCAAATAAGTGAATTCTGAACACGAATTGTGTCCTTTAGAGTACAAACTGCCACTAACGATTAAAGAATAGATTGGATGCACACTCCATAGCGGGCAAATTTGGATTGATCAGCACATTTTAGTAGGGGTTCTTCATGTAAACTCAGGCAGAACTTCAAGATTTCTTTTTAAAAAAATACATACGTAAGTCATATGTAACTTGAATGTGGGACAATATTCGGAAGCACACCACACATATTTTGCTTTACACATCAGATATCGAAAGTCAGCACAGTCTAATTACTGCACTTGCAAAAATAGCACCAATCGTCTGTACAGGTATTGGAGCATCTACCTCGAAGTGACCAAGGGTAATCTGCACAGGCTGTGCACCAACTAAGAGCTTAATGTGGAATAATGTCATCCGCTGCAGCTAAGACACAGTATAAATGTAGCTCAATCACTGAGACTAACTGTCAGACACAGCCTCCAGTCTATCCACTTTTCTTTCAGGTTACACAAATTTCTATCTGGTGGGATGGTGCGTTGGAGCGGAAAACAGGGCTACCTTCCTTGCAATCACTTCATGCCACATCAGCTTCACTCCATGAGCGATCAAAACAGAGTTAAGCGTTGAATAACTTTTGCCATTTGTTTACTAACCCACGTATACACGTTGTGTCACTTTGCCCTTCATCTGTTATTTCCTGTCATATTTCTCTTCAGCCTTATCAAAGCTTGTCAATGATTTTGGAAGTGTTTTGTGCCTTTCAAAGCTGCTAAAACTTAAGTTCACGTTTCCAACACTTCCTTCTAATGGTTGACAACCCACTTAAGCTTCACATGCACACAATTTTCTTTCTTGCTGTTAGTGTACTTCCAAATATGTCCATATCAATACCTTAAACTGTGAAATTATGCAGCTCAACCAACCCATGAACTTTGGGAGAGACTTTACATATTAGTATTTTGACAGGTATAATCAGTTCTTAACCATTAAGAAATGGTTTACACCAGTAATGAAGACTATTGCTCACACATATTTGGATTGCATTACAACTTTGCTTGACATCCAACATTTGCACATTCCTTTGGGGGTCATACTACAAAGGTGGGAAGTAGGAACCAAAAGGTGATTTTATCCTTCAACCCAGAAGATTAGACAGGAAAAGGCATCAGTACTGCATGAAATGCCTCCAAGGATATTGAAAGAAATGTGAATGAAAATTGCAGCGGAAGTAGTAGATTCAGGGGTGATGCCAGAAGACTAAAGAATTGTAAACATTGTGCCCTTATTCAAAAAGGGTGTAAGGATAAGCTAAGCAACGACAGCCTAGTCAGTTTAACTTCGATAGTTGGGAAACTTGTAGAAATTTGGGTCAAATTAATAGTCTCATGGACAAATACAGGTTAATTAAGAAGAGCCAGCATGGATTTCTTTAGGGAACGTCACGTTTAACTAACTTACTGGAGTTAGGGACTTCCAGAAGCCATTTGAGAATGAGAGATTGCACAGATTTAAAGTACTCAGTAAGAGAGGAAAATGCAACATTAGGAAAATCTTCTTAACACAGAGTGGACAGGAATGCAAAGCCTGAGAGTATGATGGAGGCCAGTTCAATTGCTGCATTTAAGAGAGAATTGGATGCTTATTTAAAAAGAAAGAATGTGCAGGGTTGCTTGGAGAAGGCAGGAGAATGGCAATAGGTAAGATGCTCATGTGGTTGAGTTAGTGCAGACACAAAAGTACAATTCTGGTCACCCTTCTAAAGGAAGGATGTTGTTAAACCCGAGAGAGTGCAGAAAAAATTTACAAGGATGTTGCCAGGATTGGAGGGTTTCAGCTATAGGGAGAGGTTGAGTTGGCTGGGGCTATTTTTCCTGGAGCATCAGAGGCTGAAGGTTGACCTTATAGAGGTTTATAAAATCATGAGGGGCATTGATAGGGTGAATAGACAAGGTCTTTTCCTAGGGTGGGGGAGTCCAAAGCAAGAGGGCATAGGTTTAAGGTAGGAGGAGAAAGATATTAAAAGGACCCAACAAGTAATTTTTTTCACACAGAAGGTGGTGCATGTATGGAATGAGCTGCTAGAGGAAGTGATGGAGGCAAATACAATTACAACATTTAAAGGACATCTGGGTGGGTATTTGAATAAGAAGGGTTTCGAGGGATATGAGCCGAATGCTGGAAAATGGGACTAGATCAGATTGCAATGTCTGTTTGGCATGGATGAGTTGAACCAAAGGGTCTGTTTCCGTGCTGTATGACTCTAAGACTCTATGATGGCATGGCAACAGGGCGTCCTGCCCTGAGCAACTCGAGTTCTAAACTTCTAGCAGAGTCTCTAACACATAATAATTGAGGTCACATACCTCAGATGCCCATCAGCAAATTGATTAATCATTATTGCTACACTGCTCACAAGTGATATCAATTCCTGGCTTTTGGGACAGATAAGGTAAGAAGCCAGTTTAAAGAATGGAGGCTAGCTTATTGCACCAAACCTACTTTATCCATAAAATTTATTGACATACAATTATAATTGTTCAAAGTGGACTTTACCTAAGGTGCAAACTAAGTCAGTTTCTTTCCATACTGTATGTTATTCACTATATTTACAAGATTCAAACTTACAGCCAGAGAGGCTTTGCCCAGTGTTCAGCTCCTCACTATACTTTGGCTGAAAGGCTTTAACCGGATGGAGGCTAATGCGAGTTTTCAGCACGTTCCCTCAGCTCACAGTCCTGGACCTTGTTGGATGCTGCCACATTCTACTCAATTGTGGACATGTCTTTTTCACTAGAACACTGACAAGCTCCTATTGTGGTGAAGTTAATTGTCATGGCCACATGGGGCATGTCTGCAGCGAGGCATAAAAACTGCAGATTTGTATCGTTCATATCGGCTCCTTTTTAAGATTTGTGCATTCCAATTTACACATAACCAGCAGGAAAATCTTAGTTTTAAGCAAGATGAAAGGATAATTTATTGCTCCACAACTGTTGCTAAAAGTAACAGTACTAATTAAAAAAGTGATAATCATTTGATAAAATACAAAAATTAAAAGTAGTTACGGTTAAAAGACACTTAAAGTTGAGAATTAGAACAGTCTATTATCATTGCAGCCCTCTTACTTTCTTAAGATTCCCTTTCTGTGAATGCAGGGGTTGAAAATTTTACACCTGATGTCTGCAGCTGTGATGGCTTCCATAGTTGAACAGTTGGAGGTCTTTTCCCCCCATAGGTGGACTAACCAGAACAAGTTCTGAAAAGGAGTGAAGGCGTTTTTATTTTGTTTCTCATAGGTTTGTCAGTCATGGTCCTTCTTAGCTTGTTTCAGAGCAGTAACCCTGAGCTGGTTTGTGATTTTTGCCTCTCCTGTTAAGAGCCCTCTCTTTGATGCTGTCTATCAGAGTTCTTCTATGTTAAGCTTTGACTGGTTGTTGTTCCATAAAGCAAAGTAAATTAATTATAGGGTCCTTCAGTGTCCTGTTTTTCTAAGAAGCTTTGAATTCTCACTCCTTTAGGAGGACTGTTTACATTATCTGAGTTCCATCAAATTTTAAATGGTTCTCTTGGTCGTTGATACTGAGCTGGTACATTGACATGGTCTGCCTTTCAGGCTGAAGCGAACCAATAGGGATAGTCAAGTGACTCCTAGGAGCTACTTCAAAGGATTCAGTATCCAATGTAATTGGGATTAGCCTTCTTCACAAAAATGTATTATATTATAATTGCACAGTTTTGAAATGTTCCTCCAGAAAACACCTTAACCCAATCATCCAATCTATCACTTGAAGAACTCACTTCAGGGTAGGATCTTATAAAGAGTGTGTGCACCCTGCATATCAGGTAAACAGTACTTTATCTGGATTGATGTCTCAATAATTTTCTTAAGATACTTAAACATGGTGAGACATTTCTAGAAAAGTTGAATGGTAACAGGATGACAAAAAGTCCTGCGTGTTTTTTAGCCATGGGTTAAAGGGTTAAGGGCAGCAGTCAGGAGAATAGAGTCAAAGCAGAGATGAGATCAGCTTGAGGGACAGAATTGCTCCTAGTATTTATGCATTACATGTGTTAACTATTGGTCTACTGCGATTAGCTCCAAAACAGCCCATGAAACGTTATGAACCTTCTGAACCATCAGGCATTTTCCTAATTGTACAAGGCAATTTTATTGCAGTCCCTTGAAGAATGGAACCAAGCTAGACAAAGAAGCATGAAAGTTAACACAAATCCTTTTCTCAGTGCTTGGTTTATTTACAGAATGCTGCTTTGCAGATGTATTTCTCTTTCCTACTAACCCAGTGTCCTGGAAATCTCTCTCTATATGTGCTCTATCTCCCAGTTTAAAAATACCCTTCAAATGTGCAACTTAACATAATGAACACACTGTTAACATCCCTAACGGATGCAACTCCACCCTCAGCCTCAAACCACATTCCGGCGCTTGTGAGGAACTGATGTAATGGAGCAGAGCGAGACTGATTCTCACCTGGGAGCCAGTAAGGGTCTTGCTGTAGTAATCCTCTGGCATAATACAGTCAATTATGGCCACGAGGCACCAGAAAGCATCTTCTTCCTCTCTCAGGATCAACAACGCAATGGCTGCCAGTCTGAAAGAAAGTCATCTTAATATTATGGGTAAAGTCATCTCAATAATTTCCCAGTAATTCCTCTTTCTCCTACTAAAGGTGGGAACTTCCACTGAGTGGCAGGCCCAGAGTAACAGTGTGACAACAACAGTTCCATTTCTCGAGCCCCTTTTATGCAGAAATGCTTGCTAAACGGCTTTACGCGAGCATTACCAAGCAAAAGGTTGACACCAAGCCACATGGGGACCCATTAGGACATTTGATCAATAGCTTGATCAAAGGAATTGGTTTTAAGAAGCCTCTTTACAAAGGTAAGGAGGGAGAGGCAGAGGAGTTTAGGAAGGGGATTTCTGAGTTTACGGCCTCAAGAACTGCAAATACAGGATCAGAATTGCTCACGTGACCTCAATTAGAATGCAGAGATCATGGAGACTCATACAGATCAAAGAGGATACGAAGATCAGGAAAAAGGTGAGGCTAAGGTGGGGCTATATGCAGGAAAGAAAATGTTAAATTTAAAGCATTGCCAAACCTGCAGTCCATGTAGGTCACTCGGTACAGGGGGTGGCAGGCAAGCGGGACTTGGTGGGGGTTAGGGACAAGTGGGCAGCATGGAGGAGCTCACGTTTACGGAGGGCGGAAGATAAGAGGTCGGGAATATGACAACAATCAATCAACTCAAGCCACTATTGGAAATAGTCAGGCCTAGAGACAACAAAGACATATATGTGTAATTCCCTCATTGGCTCATGAAGAGTGCAGACGGAGCTATTCCAGCACAACCAACTTTTAAAAGGGGAGTCTTGATTCTTCAATGTTTGCACAAAGTAATTGACAATCATGATGTCAGAGAAAGCCAAGAAAGCAGGCAGAAAATGAGGAGTGGTGAAAAATGCAGATTTTCATAAAGGTTCTCATTATCCAAAGATTGATAAGTGAAGATAGAGGCCATTCAACCCATCGTGCCTACACCAACCCTCTGAAGAGCATCTCACCCTCTCCCTATAACCCCACGTTAACCATGCCTAATCCACCTGGTCTGCACATCCCTAGACTCTATGGGCAATTTAGCATTGACAATCGACCTAACCTGCACATCTTTGGATTGTGGGAGGAAACCATAGCATTCAGCGAAAACCCACACAGACACAGGGAGAATGTGCAAACTCCACATAGACAGTCACCCAAGGCTGGAATCGAACCTGAGTCCCTGGCACTGTGAAGCAGCAGTGCTAACCACTGAGCCATCATTCCACATGCACTCTGTCCACACCCTATCCCATCATTCCCATCCTGGATTAATTGTCTGATTGCTGACAAAAGCAAAGGTCATGGATTTGTTTATTTGTGATCTTTCTGGGTTGGCAGAGAACCCCACAGGGCGGAATTGATTGGTGACCATATTGGAGTCGGTGTTGGCAGATGAGAAGTTATCAGATGTTTTGTAGGTTAGCAATGATTTAGCTCCAGTCATGGCAGTCCAGAGTCATGAGGCAAAAAGAACAGCTTAAGAAACAGAATCAAATTTTTGTTCTTGGGCAAAATTCAGCAAAGCATTTCAGTTTAGAGGCTGCAAACAGGAAAGTGCGCATAAACCACTTCCCTCCAAAATGAGAAAAAGTGCACCAACCATCTCTGGAGTCACAGTAACAAGCCACACAAACAGCAAGGGAGTAGAGTGCCAAAACTCGAGAAAAAATAGCTCATTTTATAGCAGTCTGTCATTTAAAAATGTAGACAACCAGCAAACAGAAGGCAAAATCCTTAAAGTTCACGGAAAGTGGAAAATATATAGTAGGCCAAGTTCTTCCGAGAGGAAATAAGTGATACGGAAAACAAAGTATTGGAGTATTAAACAAAAAATGGACGGACACCATAAAGAGTTTAAGTTAGTTACAAGAACCAGCATGTTAAGGCTTAAATAAATTGAATTACAGTCATCATATTTCATATTATAAAGAACATAGAGAAACATTATTAAAAATTAAAGACCAGCTCGTGGCAAAAGTCAAATATAAAGATGAAGAAATTCTTGATCTCTCTCTGGTTCTACAACATGAAGGCCTAACATATAATACGCAAAAAGAATTTACCAAACCTAACATAGTATTTCTTGGAGATATTGAAGAGGACACTGGAATCAGTTGATCCACACAAAGAAGAAGCTACAAGAGATTTTTTATTACTCAATTATGTCAGAGAACTTCAAAGATTCTTTGTTATGGTGAAGCAAATCAGCAAGTTCCTACCAAATTCGATAGAAGTTACAAACTTCTGAGACAGAATTAAAAGTGCTGCTGGAATGTGGATTAGCAACACACTTTGGAAAGAATTAAACAACTCCTAATCTCTTCAGAAATCACAACACATTATGATCTACATCTACCAACCATAGCAGCAGCAGATGCACCATCCACAGGACTGCGGACACTCATCTTTCAAGTGCAGGAAGACCGCAAGCACAATTTGTTAATGATCTAGAGGCATGATAGAGACAGAATAAACTCCACCACAGAGGAAGAAGTTTTAACAGTAACATGGGCATGTGAAACACATCACATAACTGCCTGACAGTTCAAAATCAAAACTGGTCATAAACCATCAGTCACTGTTCTAAACATGAAAGAAATTGCCGAGATACCCTGCAAAATTCAGACCTTCAGACTGAGACACAGAAGTTACAGTTCAATCTCTGAAAACATGCAGGGAAAGTACCAAACACCAGGGGGTCGCTTTCAAGAACACCATCAAATGGGACTAAACAGGAGAACTTCATCGGGGAAGTTGAGACCTTCATGTTGTCAATCAGTCAGCTACTGAAAGCAAGTTGCACGAGTGAAAATAAGCTGTGTATGTGTGCCTGTCCGTCCATCTCTCTGTGTGCATCTGACTACCCGTCTCTCTCTGTGCGTGTGTGTGTCCGTGCACATCTATGTGTGTACGTGTGAATATGTGACTGTGTCTCTGTAAAAGTTTAAGATTAGTTACCTGTTCAGTCCCTGGCAGTATCCGATGTCAGGGTTTTGCCACGAGTATGCCAATAACACTCGGCGGAGTTTCTGAACCATCTTGGAGTTCGGGGAAGTGAACAGCCTGTTATTGGTCAGAGTCCGGTGGAGGTCCAGTTCAATCTGCTTGGATGCTGCTTGGTCTATGTTCTTGCACAGCTTCAGCAGCTCCTGATAGCGCTTCCCACCATATCGCTCCCTTATACGCCGCACCCACCGATCAGTGCACCACTTCCAAACATGCCTCCGATATTCCTTGGGGATGCCATTACGGATCATGTTCTTTAACTCTGGCGATGGTTGAATTTCACCAAAGGATCTGCCTGACAGATGGTTTGTCCACTTCACCTGGAAGGTTTTCTCTTGACTCTCCTGAGTGGCCATCAGTTGCATGGATTTTCGTTCAAGAGCCTGGATTTTGGCCAGGAGGTTTTTCTCCAGCACCGGAGATGACACTGTCTTGAAACCATATTCATCATACTCACTGGGATAGGGAGAGAACAAAGACAACACAGAGCTTACTGGTGAATATAACTGCCCCTTAAGAGGAGACAAAAAAAAAGGCAAGGCAGTTCCTTAGGTCAGGGAGCATACTATTGAAAGTCAGTTGTGCCTCAGTTGGTACCACACTCTCATCTCACTCTCTGAATGTCTTGAACAAATGAAAAAATACAGCACAAGACCAGGCCATTTGGCCCCTCCAAGCCTGTGCCGATCACCATGCCCTAATTAATCTAAAAACAAACTTGCCATTTTTCGATCTGTATCACTCTATTCCCTCCCTATTCATGTACCCATCTAGGTACCTCTTAAATGTCTTCAATGTGCCCGCTTCTACCATCTCTCCTGGTAGTGCATTCCAGGCTGCTACCACTCTCTGCGTGAAAAACCTCCCTTGCACATCTCCCTTAAACTTGAACCTTGACCTTGAACCTGTGCCCCATTGTAATTGAAACTTCAACCCTGGGAAAAAGCCTCTGACTATCCACCCTATTTATGCCTTTCATAATTTTGTGGACCTTTATCAGGTCTCCTCTCAGCCGCCATCTTTCCAGTGAAAACAATCCTAGTCTTTTTAACCTTTCCTCATAGTCAATGCCCTGGAGACCAGACAACATCCTGGTGAACCTTCTCTGTACTCTCTCCAAAGTTTCCACATCCTTCTGGTAGTCTAGTGACCAAAACTGCACACAATACTCCAAATATGGCCTAACAAGGGTTTTATATAGCTGCAACATGTTTTGCCAATCCTTGTACTCCATGCCCCAGGCGATGAAGGCAAGCATGCCATATGTCTTCTTAATCACCTTGGCTATCTGTGTTGCCACTTTCAGGGAACTGTGGACCTGCACACCCAGATCCATCTGAATGTTAGTGTTCCTAAAGGTACTGTCATTTACAGTATAATTCACACTGAAATTTGGTCCTCAAAAATGCATCACCTCGCATTTGTCTGGATTAAACTCCATCTGCTATTTCTGTGCCCAAGTCACCAATCTGTCTATATCCTGCTGTATCCTTTCACAATCATTGGCACTATCAGCAACTCCATCAATCTTTGTGTCATGAGATTTGCTTATCAGACCACCCACATTTTCCTCCAGATCAATTATATATACTACAAACAACAAAGGGCCTAAGATTGACCCCTGTGGAACACCACTAGTTACCGGCCTCCATTCTGAAAAACATCCTTCCACCACTACCCTCTGTCTTCTATGACCAAGCCAGTTTTCTAGCCATCTAGCCAGCCCACCCTGAATCCCATGTGATTTTAGTTTTTGTACCAACCTGCCATGTGGGACTTTATCAAATGCCTTACTAAAGTTCATACAAACTACATCCACAGCCCTTCCCTCATCAATTATCATCGTTACCTCTTCAAAAAATTCAATCAGATTGGTGAGACATAACCTTCCCCGTACAAAACCATGCTGCCTGTCACTAACTAGTCTATTTTCCTCCAAATGTGCATATATCTTGTCCCTCAGTATCTTCCCCAAGAGCTTCCCCACCACAGACGTCAAGCTCACTGGCCTATAGTTTCCTGGATTATCCCTGCATCCTTCCTTAAACAAGGGAATAACATTCGCTAATCTCCAGTCCTCTGGAACTTCACCCGTGGCCTACGAGGATGTGAAGATATCTACCGATGTCCCAGCTATTTCCTCCCTTGTCTCTCGGATTAACCTGGGGTAGATCCCATCTTGTCTATCTTAATGCAATTTAGGATTCCCAAAACTTCCTCCTTAAATATGTTGACATTCTCTAGAGTATTCACGCACTCATCCCTGACCTCAACATTAGTCATATCCTTCTCCTTGGTGAATACCGATACAAAGTATTCATTCAGGATCTCCCTCACTTCCTGTGGCTCCGCGCATAAGTTCCCTCCTTTGTCCTTGAGTGGGCCTGCTCTTTCCCTTGCTACCCTCCTTCTTCTAATATATGCATAAAAAGCCTTGGGATGCTCCTTGACCCTGTTTGCTGAAGACACTTCATGGCCCCTTTTAGCCTTCCTAATTCCGCATTTAAGTTGCTTCCTAATTTCTCTATACTCCTCAAGGGCTTTGTCAGTTTGTAGCTGTCTAGACTTGTCATATGCTTCCCTTTTTCTTTTGACTAACCTTACAAATTCCCTTGTCATCCATGGTTCCTGAATCTTGCCATTCTTATCCTTCAGTTTTGCAGGAACATGCATGTCCTGCACTTTAGTCAATTGGTCTTTAAAAGCCTCCCATACGCCAGAGGTAGATTTGTCCTCTAATAACTGCTCCCAATCCACATTCCCCAGTTCCTGTCTAATTTGGATGTAATTGGCTCTTGCCCAATTAAGCACCCTCACCCAGGGACCACTTGTGGCCTTTTCCATGACTACTCGAAATCTGATGAAGTTGTGGTCACTAAGCCCAAAATGCTCTCCTACTGAAATATCAATCACCTGTCCTGGCTCATTCCCTAATACCAAGTCTAGTATGGCCTCCTGTCTTGTTGGATTGTCAACATTCTGTCTCAAAAAGCCCTCGTGGACACATCTAACAAATTGCTCTCCATCCAAGCCCCTGGCTCTAAGGGAATCCCTATCAATAAGAGGAAAGTTGAAATCACCCACCACAACTACCTGCTTTTTTAAACACCTTTCTAGTATCTGACTACACATCTGCTCCTCTGTCTCACATGGGCTGTTGGGAGGTCGATAAAAAACTCCCAACATCGTGATTTTACCCTTCCTATTCCTGAGCTCCACCCATCATGCCTCACTGCAAGATTCGTCCGATGTATCCTCCCTCAACACAGCTGTGATGTGATCCCTAATCAGCAATGCAACTCCCCCCACCCCTTTCTGTCCCATCTAAAATATCCGAGAATGTTAAGCTGCCACTGGTCACACTCCAGAGGTCAGCATTTGTTGCCCTTCCATGATTACTCTCAACAAAAATGGTATTGGTGGAACATCTTTTTAAACCACTGTAGCCCACATGGTATGGGGCATTCGAAGTGCTGCTTCTGGTGGGGGCTCCAGAACATTAACTCAGCTACAGTCAAGGAATCGCAATATCTTTCCACAAAGCTATAGTTCTGAGTCAGGATCATGAGCAGCTTGGAGGGGAGCTTGGAGGTAGGGGAATTCTAATGCATCTGCTATCCTTGACTTACAAAGCAGGAGAAGAGGCAGCTTTGGTAGCTCGAACAGTTCATCTACTTCACCAACACCTTCCACCCCAACCTTAAGTTTACCTGGACCATCTCTAA